GGGCTGGGTTCAAACCCACCAGCCTCGGTGTATGTGGCTGGCACTGTAACCACTGTGCCGCGGGCACCAAGCCTGAAGCATTTGTTTTTAAATTTTAGTTTTTGTGTTGGCCGATGCTTAGTATAATTTTTAGAGTTAATGAACACTAAAGTCCAAAGCTTTCTAGGTGATTGGCATGCCTTCCCTACTACATCCCCATCTTAATTTCAATTTTCTTCACAGAAACCAATTTTGGCCATATGCACAATTTCTGCTTGTAGGACTTTTTAGGGGCTTTGGGTCTTCTGTGGATACAGCCACAGCTGGAAGTTAGGTTGTCACTCAGTGACCCATCAGTAAGACACATAGTTTGGGAACCCCAGGACCAGCACTTACTGCAATAACACTACCTTTTTTGTTTGTTTGTTTTTATTGTTTTAGGTTAATTGAGGGTATAACAAATGTTTGTATTTGTTAAGTAAAGCCCCTCTTATAATTGTCCCACCCCAAGACATGTGCCATACACCCTAACATTGTGCCCATTATGTTGGAGCACACCCATCCCCAACCCTTCTTCCCTCTTCCTGCTCCCTTGTCCACCCCCCTTAATTGATTTAAGTTTTCCTCTTATGTGGGCATGTATTAGATTGTCTACCGGCTTTATGTTAGAACTAAGTACATTGGATTCTTGCTTCTCCATTCTTGTAATACTTTATGAAGAAGTATTATAGTTTCTTCCAGGTTAATACAAAAGATGTAAAGTTTGCATCTTTTTGTTTTTTTAGACAGAGTCTCACTTTCACCCTTGGTAGAGTACCACCACATCATAGCTCACAGCAGCCTCAAACTCTTGGGCTCAAGCAATTCTCTTTTCTTAGTCGTCCAAATAGCTGGGACTACAGGCACTCACCACACTGCCCGGCTACTTTTAGAGATGGGGTCTTACTCTTGCTCAGGCTGGTATAGAACCTGTGAGTTCCAGCAATCCACTCGTATCGGCCTCCCAGAGTGCTAGGATTTTACAGGTGTGAGCCAGCGTAAGTCCCTATCTTTTTTTTGAAACATAGTCTTAAGCTGTTGCCTTGGGTGGCATCACAGTTCACAGCAACTTCTATTTTCTTGCCTCAGCCTCCCAAGTAGCTGGGACTACAGGTGCCTGCCACAACACCCAGCTATTTTTTTCAGCTATTATTTTGTTCTTGCAGTTGTCACTGTTATTTTAGCTGGCCTGGGCCAGGTTTGAACCTGCTAGCCTTGGTGTATGTGGCTGGCACCCTATCCACCGAGCTTTGGGCACCACCCAGTCCCCATCATTTTTAATGACTAAATAGTATTCCAAGGTATACATATACCATAGCTTGTTAATTCACCCTGAATAAGTGGGCATTTAGGTTGTTTGCACCTTTTTTTTTTTT